TTCATAAGTAATATATGTGCGTGAAAATGTATCCATAATTGCTTTGGTACCATTCGAAACAGATGAAAATAGACTAGCATATATTTAGAATTTTGCAAAAAATAGCATTTTTCAAAGTGAATTTGTGGAAAAATTTGTAAACCGATTTWTATAAAATATTATTTAAAAGAATGTTCGATAATTTAAGCATACATGCGTGTTTAAAATTTTCCATTTGGTTCTCTCATTTAGGTACGGTGAGCCAAAATTAACCGGCGCGATACTAAACACAACCCCAAAATTGTTTTATTTGGTGGTATAGGCAGCGTTTTCGTTGTTCCCCAAACACAGAATACCACCCAAGGTACACCACAAGGTGGGCTAAAGACCGTGGTGTGGGCTTATTTCTCGTATGTTGGCGATGGTCCAATCTCCTTAATCAGTAGCATTATGGACCAAGCATTGACATTGTGGACATTAATACATTGAAAGATGTAATGCTATCGTATGGTAGTTGGATATCATGGCCAGCACAATCTCCGGACCTAAACGCGATCGAAAACTTATGGGGCGAAGTCAAGAGAAGCGTAGTAACAGTAAAACCATTAAAAAGCACAGAGCTTTGGCAAGTGTTTAAGGAGCCATGGGCTCAAATCTCTGTGAAGCGTTGTAGGGACCTTATTGACTCCATGCCACGCCCTTCTAACAACAACGTATTTACAACAAAATATTAGACCTAAGGAAACATACTAAATATGAAATATTTACTGTTACTTTCATATTTTTAGTTTTATCGTTTTTTTAATAGCCACTTTTATTTCTTTGAACAGAATAATTTTTAAATTTTATTTTAATTTAATAACTGAATGTAAACAAACTTTTTTTTTGGTACATAAAACTGAAAATATATCATATAGTGTTTTTTATAACTTTCTGATCGAATATCGTTTTTATCATGTGATTTGATTGTTAAATAGTTAGTAACCACCGGCACTATTATTTTCGTTAACACAGCTGTATATGTATATTTGCTATAAGAAAAGTACCTGTGGATTATACAATATTATAGCTGCGGTGCAKACGAAGTTAATGTAATTAATTTTATCTTGTTTTTAATTATTATAGCTAATATCCGTATTCCTCTCTGTAGTTAACTTTATGCTGTGTGTGTCATTCAGTTAGGTATTATTTGAATCGCGTTAAATCATCACACTACTTATTTGTGTTTTGTCGTTTAATTGCTTGTTGCGAACTTGGGAATATATCGTTCTTTCATGAGTCATATATATCAAATTGAAAGGTGAAATTTGTCCATTTCATTTCCCTCAAAGTAATGGTCATCTGAGCATTAAAAATTCACCTTTGAATTTGATCACAGTAGTATATCAAGTTCTTCAATAAATCTCGATTAGGACTCAAGTACGCCTCGTATTTTACGGTTTGGAATCTTACATGTAGGAATTTCAGCCAATTAATTTTTATATACACATGTATGTACATTGCATATTTCCAAAAATAAGAATTTTATCACCGTAAAAAATACACCGCGCCACTAAATGGCTTGCAAACAAATAATGAATTGACAATTTGAAATGAAACTTCACATAGTACGTACATATAAAGAGTGTACCAATAAAACAAACAGAATTTTGAACTATAGCAATGCCCTCTCTTATCAATGACAAAACTTATTGAACAACCTGGTACATACTTTCAGATTATTACCAAACGAAGCATTGATTTGACTGCTGCATATTCGTCAAATATGGAGGAACGATTGCCAARAGACGTGTTGCCACAGGAGTATTTAATTAATTTCTATATAAACTATGAGGAGAAGCGTTTTAATGGTAACATGACTATGAAGTTAAAATGGGAAAATGATACARAAAGGATTGCSTTCCATTCACATCGCGATCTTCACATCCGTGATCGGTCTATTGATTTACGAAAATGTTATACTGATGACAGGTAATGTCTTAATACAATAAAAATAKATTTTATCAATTTTCTTCAGTATTATTATATTAATTCAGAGTGAGTTTATTTATTTTTATATTTGCAGGAAAAATATATTGGAAGATATTTCAGTTGCACGTATTAGCAAGTCCTACAAGAAATCTATTTGTACACTTCACTTAAATAGCTTCATAAGACGAGGATCACATTGTGAGCTGTATATGGAGTTTGAAAGTCATATTTGGACGAAAGCAGAAGGATTATTTTATGGCAGCTACATTGGTGATAACAAAAACAAACAGATTCATTACATCGCCACTAATTTGTATCCGAATAATGCGAGAAGATTATTTCCTTGTTTCGATGAACCAGAATTTAAGGCAAATTATAAAATTAATATTCATATTTACATTAGAATTAGTGCAAATATTTTAATTTACCTTTTCGTGCTGCAAATGCCCATCGTCTAAAAAACTGTAGTCTTTAAAATAACTAAAAGTTCAACAACTCCCTAACCACAAACGTTACAAGAGTACTTTAGTGTACTTGGTGCTTGAATGACTCCACATCTTATAAATTTGTATACTCTTCCAATATGTTGTTATAGATATAATAATTTTTCAACTAATAGTTGGTTTTAACACCTAAAACTAATCGAGATTCATATAATATATGTATATATGTATATACATATTGTACATAGTATATCGTCACCTGAAATGCAAAATAACGTAACAATATTTCCGGATATTTACAATGGCATGTATGAAACACGAAATAAAATGGAACATGAGTGAAAAATTATAATATTGGTTAAAACTGGTTTATATCTGACTGCAGAAACTGAAAATGTTGAACATATGTAATACTATGTTTTTAATTTGAAGTAGTGAAGCGTAATCAATAAGACACTCAATTTCGAATTTTGTGATGATACTTTATTTTGCATTTCAGGTGACGATAAGTATAATTGATCATAATATTTTCGTTTGACCCTTTAACTGGCCGCTATAACTTCAGTTAAAATTAGGATATATTGATGAAACTTGCTACAAATTTTCCCTCATACCATAAGAAGTCAGATATTGTGATCACTTCTACGTTCACAAAGCACAACTATTATAAAACCTATAGAGTACCATCACTAGTTTATTTATTAATTAAGACTATAATTTGGTACAACGAATTGTATTAGAGAGTCATCTGTGATTTGAAAATCTTCACAATGTGGGAGTGATTTCGCTCCCTAATATATTAGTGTATACGTATAAATCTTGTGGCAACCCGAAATTAATGTGGCAACCCCAAATGCAACTCTGCAAAAGTAAGCTGTCAGATTGAAGAACCACCATCTTTCTTCTTGGCGCATCATCACGACTGCGTGCACGTCTCACCATTTTCAGTCTCCGAATTTTTGTATCATTTTCATATTTTTGTACCAGTTTTTATATTAAAATAAATTAAACATTATTGTGGAC